CATCTCTCTGAGGTGATGTATGCTAACTAAGCCTGTTGTGGTCATCATTTGACACTATACGTCGATCAAACCATCAGCTGTACACTAAGACTCACACAGTGATGTGTGTTGAGGGGGAAGCGGAGGTTGCCTGGGGGGCAGGGGCGGTGGCAGTGGAGGGGTGGACCTGGACACAGCTCCAGGGAAGAGACACATGTTTGGGGAATCATCAAATTGCCTAGGATGTAGTCTACCATCTGGTGGAAACGGAGCCTAAATTAGAAATGAAATCAAGCATCAGAAACATGAAGGAAGTAGCAGTCATTGTACACATGGGCTCTGTGCTGCTATTTATATGACGACAGGGGCCTGTGTGGGGGAGGGCATGAAGACTCCTGGCTCAGGAGGGAGGCCTAAACGGCGAAGGGCTGAGCACGCAGCTTGGGTGCATGGACTGGCCTGTGCTCAGGAGTACTACGGCCTCATGCTCCCGGGGTGGCCACCAAGGAGTTGAATGCTCTACTCTGAAAGGTGGCAAGACTGTGGAAGGACCAGTGTCAGCTCACACCCATCTCTTAGTCAAAACCTCTGCAGATCCTCCAGGAAGAGTGTGCTCATTCCCTCCCTGGGCTCCCAGAGGGAGACTTGGTAGAAAAGGCTACGGACTTTTTCCCTCATGACGCAGGGCTGGGGGCCACTGGTCAGAAGGGTTATAAGTCAGGAGGAGAGTGAGGGCAACCTGGAATCGGCCCCTTTGCATTTCTCCTTTGCCACGCCAACCTCTCGAGCCTTTTACTGGCAGCTGCTTTACCTCTGTTCAAATCTTGTGCACATTCCTCTTTTGGGTGACTGATCTAGGATCCTGCAGGGAAAAAGACTGTGTTAAATGTCATTCTAGATTAGCTAAACTGACATACTACAAACCACCCTACCCCAAACCCTCTTGAAGTTGTAATGACTGTATGAGAACAGCACGTACATAGAACATGATTTACATTTTTAAAAAAGATTATTCTGGTTGCTGTGAGGAAAACAGACTGTAGGGGAACCAAATGTGGAAGTAGGGAGGCCAGCTAGGAGGCTGTTGCAATGATCCAGTAAGAGATGGGAGTGGCTTGAATCAGGAGGATGGCAGAGCGGGAGGTGAGTTTTGGAATCGGGATATATTTTAAAGGCTTCACTGGCGGACTGAATGTGGCATGACAGAAGAAAAAGTCAGTGACGGCATCATGGGTTTTGGCCAGGGCCAAGGGTCGTGCTATTTCTTGAAATGGGAAAGACTGGGAGAGAGACATTTTTGGGGGTGGGGGAAATTATAGATCTCTTTGGCCATATTAAGATTGAGATGCCTGTTAGACACCCAGGTAGAGATGTGTAAGTAGCTGAATCTACAGTGCAGTTCTGGACTGTAGGACGGAGGTGGGGACTAAGATACACATTCAGGAGTCATCAGCAGCTGGACTGGGCACATGGTGTGATAGAGCTAGGTGATAGAGCTGTGCCCTTTTGGGTCTATTACCTAGAGAGTGGTACTGAGAGACAATGGGTGGAGCACTAAGGTAACCCAGCATTTAGAAGCTTGAGAGGAGATGTGTCCAAGGAGTAGGACACGAGAAGGAAATCGAGATGAGGGCCAATTATTATTTAAAATGATTTTTTAAGATAGAAAATAGTGCTGTATGTTTGTGAACTGACAGGAATGATCCAATAGGAAAGGAGAACTTGATAGTGTTGAAAAGAGTAGATAATTTCAGAGCAGAGTCATTTAGTAGTTGAGAAGGCATGAAAATGGAATATTATTTTACATTATAAACTTTTCATAAGCTTACATTATAGGCACCTTCTTCATCTATGTTTATGTTCTGTGGTCAATGCCTGTACAGCGTTGGTTAGGGTGCTTCTGACTGGGAGTCAGAAAAGTTAAGAAAAACTGAGCCAAACCTGCTTAAATACTTAATTGGCTTTCATCCTGTGGAAAGTCCGTGGGGAGGGATGACTTCAGGTAAGGCCCAATGCTGTGGCTTGGTGACCTAGTTTCTGTCTGTCCACTCCAGTTTGTGCTGCTCTCTTTGTGGTCTCAAGATAACTGCTGGCAGCTATTGGGGCTACATGTTTCTTTATTAAGTTCCCCAAGTAGAGCACCCCAGCCTTCCCAGGAGGAGCCCTGAGATTCATCCTCTGTGCCTACCTCACACCAGTTCTGCAGCCATGTGGAAGGAACGTGCTGAAAGGCAGAGCCAGAATCACCTCGATCCCCCCTTGAAAGCAGGGTCTGGAGGAAAGGAGAGCTAGTGTGTGCTGTAAGCTCTGCAGGGAACTCACGTTGTGATGATGATAAACCTTTCCGGCAGCCGTTGGAGAAAAATAACACATGTAAAGTATATGTGTCCTAGAACAGGTGAAAAATGCATTTGGAAATGAGTTCATTTGCTATTTGATGGATAGAGATAATTATAATTGTTCCTTTGTTTAAGAGACGGGTACTTAGATGACAGGCCATCTGCTGAAGGTAAAATGTCTTTGGATTTCACAAGCACTAGTTTTCCTTACGTTAAGTCCTTATGGCCAATAACTTGGTCAGTTACTGACCTGGTCAATACTTGAAGATGGCAAAAATCTCCTTCAGGGCGTGTAGGTTTAGTCTACTAACAGTGAGGTTTGTGGGAGACTTTAAGGGAGAGTGTAAGCAATGTTGTATAATTTGGCCCCCAGGAGGGCCATGGTTTTTGGGTGCCAGCCAACGATTTAGGGTTTTCTGCTGCAGTGCTACTTACAGTGTTGATGTGAGCAGCAGCTCCTTGATCTCAGTGAGAAGGACAGGTGTGGAAACCCGAGGTGTGGTGATAATCTGCAGTTTTGAAACTTCTGGATTATTGCAGCCTCAACTGGATCTGTAAGGAATTCTTCCTCTGTGAACAGCCAGGAATCTCAGTATTACCCAGACCTGCCAGTACGTTCTTTAGTAGGACATTCACATTCCTTAGATTATGAGGCCATGGAATTATATAATGCTGTAATTACTCCTGGCAGGGAAAGAGTAGCCTGATGGAAACGCCCAGCCAGACACCCTGTTGGGAGCTCGCTCTGCCCCTCATGTTGTGCCCTCAGCAATGCACCCAGGCAGCCACACAGGAGCAGGAATTTCAGATAATACCAAAGCACACTTCTTTCAGGACATGCCCCCAGGCTGGCCTCTCTTTGTTGACTCCTTGCAAACGCACCCACCCCGCTTTCCCTGGCACAACAAAACAGCCTGCAATTCAGCCTCTCCACATCCACACAGATTACAGCAAACACACTAACGAAACCGACCTGAAAAACCAGCCACTGGTCTGCTGGTCTGTTTCCCTTAATCTCTCCAAAATGTCTACCATTCTCTTTCTTTCAGGCTACCATTTTTATGGGAACAACGAAGGTTTCTTTTGCCCATTCTTCTTAGGATGGAATGTTATAGCAAACACTTCATGTTTAGAGTTATTGACAATGCTTAGTTCTTTGGAGCAAAGGACCAGATGGATTTAAAATTCATGGAACACCTGGACAGCGAACTGATTCTTTGCGTGCTTGCCCAGTGTCTCCTTGGTGTGACACTTCCAGGTGGGGGGCCATCGGGACGTTTTTCCTAGATGGCACAGGTCCAGCCTTCCAGAAGCAAGCAGACATGCTTGCAACCCACCTAGGTGCTAGAAACCTTTTTCCTCCCTAGTTAGGATCCTCTTTCAATACATTCGTGAGATTAAGACTGTTCTGCTTTTCTGCGCACGTGAATGGAGCAATCACTATTTGTACATTCTAGAGGGAGGTAGAAGTCAGTTCAGCTCAGCCATAACTAAGAGTTCACTGACCACCTTAAAGAAGCAGGAAACATCAGCTACCAAGTCCTGCCCGCAAAGAGCTCTCAGTCTAATTTGATTTTAATTAACTCTAGAAACTTCACTGCACTTCTCTCCCTATTTTATATTGTCTTTCTATCCAATTTTTTCTCTCCATGCAAAACTCCAAAGAATTTTCCAACCTTCTCCTCTCCAACCTTCATCTGCAATTCGAACTAATGCCCATGGGAAGAAATCTCTCCTGGTCGGCAAAGGATTGTGTGATTTTCTCCCCTCCCCGTAGCACCGCACATCCCTGCCCACAGCAACACATGTGGTACCTCGCTGGAGGCAGAGGATTGTCAAAATTGGTTGTGTGTCTTTCTTGGGCCAGTGGCATGTGAGCAGAAGTGATAGTGGGGTCAGTGTGGAGCAGATGTTTTAAGAGGCAGCCTAATGTTTGAAGACATGGCTGCCTATTTCTACCAGGTTTTTAAAATTCCTTTGTCCTGATCCAAATAGGAGCTTCACCTTTGATTTGGGTGCTGGAATGAGAAGACATTAGGAAGAGCTGCAGTCCACCCACAGCCACTGAAATGTAATGTAAGTGAGAAATAAAGATACTGTTGTTATAACCACCAAGAATTTTAGGGTCATTTGTCACTGCAGCAGAGCCAACTAATACAAAGACCAAGTCATAAATAAAAATGCAAGATAAAATACAGCAGTCACAATTCCCAGTCACCTTTATTTATATAAAAGTAATTAAATAAATTATCTCAATATATACAAACAGAATATTATCTTTATAAATAGAAAATCCCATATATAAGACCTTTCTAAAAAAATTATGTAAATATATACAATGTAGACAATAGAGGCTTGAAGTACCTTAAATCATAAACTCCATGTAGTTTTTATAGTAGTCTTATAAAAATGTAGTTAGCTGTCAAGTGTTTAATCAACAGCATTTAAGTCAGATAAAGTGCTAAACTGTAATGCATGTTAGGAATGTGCCCCAAATAGAAGTCTTCTGCACTTAAGACGTTCACGTAAAAGTTTGCCAATTGTTTTGAACCTCCAAAAGAATTCAAGAAGAAGATCCTAAACACCATATATTATTAAAGAACCAAGGTTTAAAGAGGTTTGAAAGCAGCCTCTTGAAAATTCTCCAAAAGCTCACCCAGGGTTTTTTAAGGTACTTGTTCATTAGTTTCTGCTTAGATGATCTGGTTTCATCCTGGGTACAGAATATATAGTCTAAAGCATAATATGTGCAAAAGGTGCCATAGTGTTAAAATAGAAATTTAAAAACTTGGTTGTACCATTCTTTACATTCCAAAGTGTCTATGCTGATGTTGACACCAGAATGCTAACTGTGAGAACAGGTCAGATAAAGCGCTTTCTTTGAACCCAAGGGTCTCTATGCTCCCAGACAATCATTTGTTTTTCCATATATTCTATCCTCTTAAAAGTTCTTGGCCACAGTGCAAAGTCAACTCTGCTACAGCGGGCAGTTCTGGCGGCACGTTCCTCACGCGGCGTTGAGCGGGGAGTTCTCCTTCCCGCTCTTGTCTGCTCTCGCCTTCCTGCACTTGCGCAGAGACACGGACAGGACAATGATGAAGATGATGGCCACGATCACCACCGCTCCAATGATGAACACATCTAAACACATACGGTAAAAGGTCTGTTGAGAGGGCTCTCGGATGCCATTCCTCAGAGGGCAGAATTGAGAGCCTAACTACAAATTACATCATCCTGGTTTTGCATAGCTTGAAACTTATTTCCTCTCCTCTTTCTACTACAATATTTGGACTAGAAAAGAATTTGTCAAACCCTAGGTGTTTCAGGGTGACTGGCGATGGCAAGAAGCATTTAATGGGCCAGCTGATGAACCAGGTAATGCCCAGACTCTAGAAGAGATCCAAGTGATGGAAGCAAGAACAGCTGTTAGAAGCAAGTGGCTAAAAATCATGCTAGGTGTGGTGGCAATGAGTATAGAAGATGAACTATCAGCGCAAAGAGACAGATGCACAGCCAGGATTCAGGTGAAGAGATAATAGCTGGTTGGGCAATAAGAAGGCTTCCTGGTGGAGGTGGCATTTGAAAGAGTTCTCAGAGGACACATTTCCATAGGCAAAGAGGCAGGGGAAGCAGCAATCTGGGTGTGCAAGACAGAGGGGCCGCAGAACTCGAGCTGCCTTGAGGACAATGGATGTGAGGGCTGTGGGTGTGATGGCCAAGGAGAACCTTGCCTTCTGTCAGTGTCAGTAAACAGGAGAGAATTTATTTAAAAGTGTTTAAAAATGTTTAAATTTTGTCTTAACATTGAGCTAGGTTGTCATTACTCTCCTCTGGCTCTTTGTTCCCTGAACATATGCATGATTGATGTGGTTTCCCTATAAAACCTAGGGAGAGATGTGTCGGCTTTCAGCCTCACAGACATATCTGGACACCTGCGGCACTTCCAGTTAGGAGCCACTCCTCACATGGTGTCTGGCCCCCAGCGTATGTACACGCATGGACACACATGTTGGCCATGTGCACATGTGCATGTGGGTATATTTGATAGGCTCAGTCCCTTCCTTTCACGGGTCAGAATTTATATCCTCTGTGGTAATAGCCTGTAGTGGGTGCCCACAAATGTCTAGGGGGTGCTGTTGCAGCTGGTCCAGAAGCTCCCCTCAAACTCCAAGATCAGAATTTAAGTATGAAAAGATGGCCAGAGGAATCTGTGATTTGATGCTAAATCCTAAACATGTACTGTGCCCAGTGCTTAGCAGAGAGCTTAGCACATGGTAGGTGCTCAAGAAAACACTTGCTAATACAAGGGAACAACACAGAAACAGTTCTAAATGGCTAAACTTGTGAGAATACACAAAAAACCCACAAAACAAAACAAAAGACCAAAGCAGCTTCTCCCTGAACAAAAGTGCATCCTGGTGCTCAGGGTGGAGCTAGGCCCCTGGAAGGCGTCCACGCCTCCTGGCCAAGTGACGTGCAGAGCCACTTACCTGTGAATGTGTCCTTCTCCTGGCTAGTGCACGCAGTGGGACTTTCTGTGCTTTTCTGGTTAATTCTTCGTGATGAAATCACTGCTTGAACATTAAAACAGTAGTTTTCTCCTTTATCCACATCAATCGAAAACTCATTAGTGTTTGTCTTGGCTGTTTTCTGTCAAATAAAAAGAACTCTTAATCCATTCGGGCTCAGAGTGAATTCCTTCCCCTTTACTAAGTCACTGTGGAAGTAAAAGCCCACATAGACACTTCTAACAAATAAAGGATTAGAAGTGACTTGGCTAATCAGTTCCTTGTGATAACTGCTAAGGATACTTTTTTCTAAGACTGAAGATACTCCATTTAGGCACATTTTAGCCCTTTAATACCCCAACTCAATTGAGCTCTTTTAGAAGATATTTGCAGTAAAGGAAAAAATGAAGCATTAAATGTTGAATGGAAAACAAATTTTGTCTCTGGGATCCTCAATGGAGGAAGAAATGTGGGAGCTGGTGGCAACTTTAGAGATGACCTAGCCTAGCCCCATGGCCGGAACCTGAGAATCCAGGGGGTCCTGCCCAAGGTCACAGGCAGAATCTGGGCAGCAGGCACCCCTCCCAACCCCTCACACTGCCCGCAACCACCCCACTCTGATATTTTTGAATTGGGGAAGAAGTAGGCTATACAATCAAGGATCCACAATTTAAAACAAGTCCATATAAACAAATGAAGGAATTCTCACCTTTCCTGTACTTGCAGCTTTCCAATAATAAAGTGCATAACTTAGGTTCTTGCCAAAAACATCCCGGAGGCTTAGGAATGTGCCGTTCTTTCTGACTAAGGTGCGTGCATCCTGCACAATTACATTCAGTTTTGTCCCAACCTGTCTAAAACTCTGAATTGCTGGCTGTCCAAGGTTTGCTAAAACAGAAATGAGCTTCGTTGGAACCAAAGAATTCTATACAAAGTAGAATACATTTAGTTATCATAGTTAATGACAACGTAGTCATCCCTCATAAAAGACTAGCAGAGAATCAACTGCTTGGCAATGGTAAGCTAAATGGAGTTGAACTCCAAAACGTTTTACTGGTCAAGGGAAATGTAATGGGAGCCAGAGATACAATTTTACATTTGCTTGTGGTAGCATTAGAAAATGTAAAAATGAACAAGTGAAATGAATTTTAATAATTTTTTATTTAACCCAATCCAGCTAAAATATTATCATCTTAACATGTAATCAACATAAAAGCTTTTGGAGATATTTTCTGAAATCCAGTGTGTATTTTATCCTTACAGCATTAGCCATATTTCAAGTTCTCAATAGCCATATGTGCTTAGTGGCTACTATTGTAAACACTCTAGTTGCATAAAATTTCCAATACCAGATACAATAAATTACAGGCTGTGGAAAGGTCCTTGGTACCTCAAGGAACCAGTTTCAGCCACTGAGTCTCTGCAGTGCTCAATTACCTCCTGTGCTTTAGTTGAATGACAGTAAAACAGAACCTAGTAATTTAACACAAATCATATGCAAGTATGTATGTGTCTATGTAAGCACATGCAAAATAAATCTATAAGATATTTCCTATCTTGCACCAAGAAAGGATTTGAAGTGGCTTACAAAATAACTCAAGAACTGTAAAAGGACATCATGAGATACCATCAGTGGAGGGAGAATGCGTCTCAGAGACCCTGCAGCATCACTGGGAGTGGCTGCCCACAGGGTGTTTCTGCTCTAGCCAAGTGCCCTGAGACACGCTGGTTGAAGGCACTAGAGGAGTCTGACAACAGGGAAGGCAGCCAGATTCACCGGGCCAGGCTGCCCCAGTTTTACTCTCAAAGTAGACACTAGAGGGGAAAGGTTGTAGACTCTCCTTCTGCCCTTCTCACCATCCCTGCCTCAAGAACCTCTTCTCCCTCACTGGGCAGTCAGAGGGGTAAACATGAAAACACCGACAACACAACACTTTCATTCTAGCTCTTCTTAAAAGAGCAGCTGATTTCACTCTTTTCAGTGTGCTACAGTATGCTATATGTTTATTTAAAATACCTAGTTCAGACCCATACTCATGATAGAAAGACTTAACTTTCCTACTTGGCAGGAATCCTCTGCATTCTCATAATAGATATTAACTAAGGTCAGCTTACTGGGGCAAAGGCTGGAGAGGGAAACATTCCCCATTTTGAAAAGCAGCATGAAGGAGGTAGGCTGGGAACTCAGGAGGCAAATCATGGTCAAGTGATTAAAAAAGTCAGCAAGGCATCAGGAACAACAAATTCGGGGCTGTGGAAAGGTCCTTGTAGCTCAAGGAACCAGTCCCAGCTCTGCAGTGCTCAATTGCCTCCTGTGCTTTACTTAAATGACAGTAAAACAGAACCCAGTAATTTAACACAAATCATATGCAAGTACATGTGTGTCTGTGTAAGCACATGCAGAATAAATATATAAGATATTGGAAATCTTATGCAACTAAAATAGTAGCCATTAAGCACATACGGCTGTTATGGGCTCAGACGGAAACTGGACTTTCCCCATGGATTTGTGACTGTGACCCAAAGCTGGGACTTTGAGTCTGCTGATGGGACATAAATATATAAATATAAATATATATATAAAAATATTTATATCTACCTTAGCTATAAAAATTCTCCTAAATACAGGAGCTCAGGGGAAACCTTGAAATCCCAGCTTTGGTGGCTTCCCTACTCCTTGTACTGCATCCAGCCAGTTACTGGTAAGGTCTGGGACAGACCAGCAGAGAAAGTTACTTGATGACACTGTTACCGACTCTAAAGCTTGTGTTCTGAGAACCTCCTACCATATCTGGAATGAGTTAAGTGACTGTGGCGCTTTCCCAGTTTCTGAAAAAGATGTATTTATGGCTAGATATGTTTTATGTAATGGCCCCTAGGGGTCACAAGCTCACAAGAATATTCAGAATAAGAACAAAAGGTTTAGAGTAAGAACAATTCGAGCTACTTACTTTCCTCATAAGGTGTGAACTCGGGGGAGTTTGTAAACGGAGACTCCCCAGCAGAGTCAGTGGCACTTGCAGGGTAGGAAAGGACCCTCGCCATGTATGTCTGTGTCACATCTTTCACAATCTCATCAGTGAGGTCACACTCTGTATCTGTTGTGTAGAAGCATTTATTTTTCCAATTGCCTAATCTGTGACTAAAGGAAGGAAGGACGAGAAATGGAACATTATGATTTGCATCCCACAAGACAGGCTGCTTCCTGGCCGTGGCGCAGTGTTAATAAAAGTAGCCACAGCCATCTCGAGGAGGCATCTGATATGCTGAGCACTTTAGATGCAACCTTGAGGTGGCTCTGTAATTGTCTCTTGTTTTTACAGATAATGCAACAGAGGCAAGGTGAGATTGGGGGACCAGCTGAAAGTCACACAGCTAAAATGTGAGCCAGATAGCAGTTGGATGGCAGGTCTGTGCTCTTAACCGTTTTGTTAAATTTATTCCTTAAAATGTGGGTGATTTGTCATGGTTACATGGAAGAAAGAGCAATTTTTCATCAAGCCTCATTTACTATAGTCGCTTATATCACATACTGGTTTTCTCATTCTATATGCTATGTTGAATATAATCAATGTAGCTGTAACAGCCTATAGAATAATATATTCTATACATTACAGTCTATGACAACCATTATTGGTGTGATGATTTGACATTTATGGAATCTATTGTATATGCCAGGTACTGTACTGGGCCCTTTATCCATGTTACTATTTTTAACATAACACTTCCAAGAAGATACTGGCTCTCCTTTACATATGAGAATACAACCTCAGAGCTGCTAAGAAACTTGTACAAGGTCACATAGCTAATGAGGTGAGGGCTGGGTCTCATACAACATGTGTCCCTCACTTTTATAATGTGAACACATCCTATCAAAGATTACAGAATGACAATACAGGCAGTATCTGTCCAGCAAAGTGAGAGACTAAGACACTAAAGACACATCTTTCTTTTGTAAGGCATTATTGAAAAGGAAATGATTTAAAGACTTCTACTAAAAATGAAATTATTCTAAATGACCTAGACAATTCACAGATGAACATCACAGCATCTTGAACCACACACTTCAGTCCCACATAACTTGACTCTTTCCCTTCGCATCACTGACCATCAGAGCCCTTCCCATCACTCAAGGCCACATTCCAATCCCACTATCCCCAAGAATTTCCAGATCTTCTCGCTCAGAATTGACCTCTCCCTTGCTTGTCCCCCCAGTGCCATTATCTCCTTTAAAGCACTTAATGTGAACTTGTTACCAGGAGTCCATGCCCTTGTGCTCCAGTTAACAGCAGGGTTTCAGGGCTTGCACAGCTAGGTCTTGCTGAGTGTTAGATGGCTTGCATTTACCGGTTGAATTAGGGGAAAAACAAGCTGCTATATGGATTCGATTGTCTAAATCTATGCATAACAACAATGCATTTTTAAAAATCTGAACTAAATAATCAGGCTAAGAGGGTATGGATAAACACACTGAAATCCATAAACTAAAACTGAAAGGAAAATATTTGGGCTTCTTAGACTTATAATTTTCTAATTTCTCAAAGTGGAAAAGCTGTCTTACTTTCAGAATGAACAAAATGCATTTCTAAAAATTACATCACTTCTATTTTAAAAAGTGAATGAGCACATCATGGTTCTTCTGCATTGCTATGGCAAACAAGTTGTCCAGGTAACAGGGGCAAGACTACAGGGCTCCGTGGCTACATTCCATCTGAGAGAGAGATTTGCTTCCTTCCAGCTCACAGGGAAGAAGCACAGTGCTCCGTGGCAACATAGCTCAAGTGCCTAGTCACCAAAAGCGGTAAAGTCAGTGAAGTGTGAACAGGTAATGAAGGGCCAACTGTGCAGTGAGTGCCTTTGCACGCCGTTATCAGCATTAACCCTCGAAAAGCTTTCGAGGTTCCTAGGTATTGCCACACCTCCTGATTTGGAAATAATAAATGTCCCACCAGAACTACTAAAAAATTCCAACAGAATCTGGACTTAACAATTTAGGGACTTTTCTAGAAGCTTTTGAAGTTTACTTCTAGAACAAAGAACATTCCTATGGAATTAATATTACAGATGACAGATCAGGGCCAAGGCTCAAGCCAAGAACACTTCCCAACCACCACTCAAAGCCATTTGCAAAGGGGAAGAATACAGCTGGGGCTCCAAGCAGGGGCTTCAGGTACTGTGGTGAGGGCAGGTGGGTGAAGAAGAGCAGCAGCTTAAGGCGGTTTCTCTAGGGAAGGAAAACTGGGAGGAAGAAGGCCCACTGCCGAGAGGGTGTGTGCTGAGAGAGGCGTGGGATCAGCCCTCCTTCCTCCTCCCAGCGTTGGGGCCTCACATCAGGACGAGGCAAAGCCTCCTAAGGAGGTAGTAGTGTGGGGGAGGCTTGGTTTCAGACCTGCCTGGGCACTTGCTGTCAGTGCAGTCATGAATAAATCCCTCACATTCCTTGGCCAACAGTTTCTTCTTCTATAAATGATTGCTATGGCCCTTTCCACCCAGGAATGTCTTTACCCTTGGGGAGATCATGGAAGAGTTGCGGTTCTCTGACAGGGCTGGAGGAACAGCTCACAAGTCAGCTCAGGGCCCAGAGTGCGGGCAGATCGCCAGGATGGCAGGAAGCCCTCAGGCTGCAGTGTGCGCCAGGAGGTTTGCCCATTAGGGGCCACATTCACTTAAGTAACTGCAGCCTTGGAAAGTCTAAGAACTTGGAGCTAACAAAGTCTTATATTTGGAAATCAGGGAAATCATGAATACGTTTCCCTATGTTCACCAAACATAAGATTGAATATACTTAGGAGCTTAGCATTCCTCCTAAAATCTCATTTTTATGATCTAGAAGGAAGGTGTTTACAAAGGTAAACTTCAGTTCTGTTGCAGAGGAATTCATCACTGATTTTCAACTAGTGGAATCTGAATTGATAAGTTTGATCACACCATAATTGTTATCTTGGACTACTGAATTCCTTTATCTCTCTATATACCTGGACATGAATGCATGCACACACACAAATTCTCTTCCCTGTTGGTTTTGGCAACAGTCATCATGAAGTTCATTTTGAAAAACAAGAATATCCACCTAAAAGATCCACTCCATACTTAGAAGTTGTACACCTAATGCTATTACAGGGCTTGACGCAAGCTAAAACAAAACAACTAAATGCCTTTGATTTTAATGGGTGATACTTTTGTTCCCTTACACAATTAGAGTTAACATAATTTCCACAGCAGCTCTTCTCTATTTAATAATATCTTTACCAAGCCTCCTAGAACATTTCAGATACCAAAACTTGCCAATATGGTGAAAAACATCAAGAAAGGTATCTGGTACCTGCTGCGTTTACATTGAATATGCTGAATTATCAGCTCTTAGAGAGGGAGCTGTCAGCCAGAGACCCAGATGACTTGGCTGAGCAGCCCTGACAGTTGAGGGTGCAAAGGCGCCTTTCTGCACAGTTTAATGAGTCATGAATTTGATTTCCTCTGAGACCAGGTATGCAACTGAACTTTGAATCACAGCATCTAAAATTTACTGAATCAAACACTGCTTAAGGGCAATGTATACATCTGAACTCCTCCCCACCGCCTCTTCAACACATTAGATGCAGCTCACAGTCTAGACAGTGATGTAGAAGACGTGTATGCTTAGACAAGATTAGTTATCACTCATCCAGAACCACATCTCAGTGCTGCCATGACCTGCTCAAGAAGATTCACCTCTCCAGAGCTTACAAATTTTCCCATCATCTCCAAGAACAATTATAATGGTCTATCAGTTTAAGGTATGCAAGTATTGTAACCTTGAGGGAGTATGGCTCTGGCCACCAAATTACCATGAATGCCTCTTCATTGCCCTCTGTTGAATCTCATCCATTAGTCAGTTTGAAAGACATTTATATTCTGCACAAGGAAATGGAAACATCAAAAGCCTTAATTTGCTTTTTTAGATTACCTTAATTTTCTAGCTTACCTTATCTGAACAGTGTAGACATGATTGATGGGTTTGGGTTCCCACTCCAAAATTGTCTTGAAATTAGTTGATTTCCAAGTTAAATTATATGCTGCCACTACATCTGTAGTACCTTTAAACCAAAGAGAAACAGCCATTATTACATGAACTTTTCAGCACATGACTTCATGTTGCTGGTAGAAAACGTCTCCCCCACTCTCCCCAGCATCACCGTAAACCTCACATTAATTTTTTGTCCCAAGCACAAATGCTTCCCTATTTCATCAAGAGAAAAAATCTCCAAAGTTTTTCTAAACCCAGAATTTCCTCATGGCAAGATCAATTTTGTAATCTAAGGACATAGGTGAGGATACTGAAATCCCCGTTTGAAGTCACTCATCCTGTGATAACCTGACATGGAAGCACAGCCGGGGAGCCATCAGCAACTCAGGGTGTCCACCGTCCAGTGCCAAAAGTGCAAAATACAGGTTCAACTCACTAGGAAAGGCCAGTGAGGAAGGGTTTTCACTCAGTTATGGAAATGGGCAACCCCCATATTTGTGAGAGAAGTTAGGGCTGCACACAATGAAAAAGCCATTTTCCCATTTTTATCTAACATGTCTGTACACTGAAGCTTCCACAACTAACCAGGCAGAAGTATGGCCTGTTATCCCCTCGGATGTATTCGGTTAGGAGGCTTTATTATTTAAGTATGCTTTGACAATACCCAGCAGGTCACAGTCTCTCCCCTGCCCCACACACCTAATAGGCGTATGGGGGCATGCACAATGTGGTGCCTGCTCCAATCTAAGAGACCTTTTGCAACAGGATTGCCTCTAACTCAGTCTAAAACAAATACAATTAAGAAAAGATCAAGAGCTGCTCTTTATTAAGGAAAGTGTGTCTGCAATGAAGGATAATAGTCAAACGTTGCAGGCCGAGGGCAGGTGCGGACTCACGTCTCACCTCCTTCAAGGTCACGGCTCACTGGGAAACTCTTTCCCCAAACTTAAAGCAGGAGCTGAAGACCCACTTACGCAACAACAATGGAATCCCGAGCAAGCTTCTTTAGCAGAAAGGGCAGCTAACCCCCTACCCTCCAGCTCCCGCCTGCGCGCCCCGGGGCCTGGGTTCATTGAAACTCGGCTGAAAGACAGCAGCCGAGTCTCGCGGACGCAGGGGACACCTTGGGGCATCTGGGCGAGTCGGATACCAGCCAGGGCTGACCCCCTCCTCCGGGCAGCGCGCCTTGGGTTTCGGGGGCGGGTGCTACTCACCTGTGGCTCCGGCCACCTGGAGAAAGACCCAGAAGAGCAGGAGTGTCCGAGAGACAGTGGCCTTGGGGACGGGCACTCGGGGCCGGGTGGGGGTCGCCATGTACACGAACTGGCGGGGAGGCCGGGAGGATTCCGCTGTGTCCCGAAGCCTGAGGATGCGGGCCGGATGCGTTTCTGGGATACCGGAGGTAGCCGAGGGTGCGCGGAACGCCGCGAGTCTGGGGGAGCGGGTGCCGGGCGCTACTTATGAAGAGCTGCGCGCCCGCCCCCGCCGCTCCTCCCCACTCCCCGCCCCTGGCCCGGTTGCCCAGTCGCGGTGGGCAGCCCCAGCCAATCCACACCCCTGTCCCGCCTCCTCCGGGTAGGAAACTCCAAGACCCTGCAAGGGGTGATTCAGCCGTGATTCAGCCGCGCCGCCGCGCGCGAATCTGCCCTTCGGCTCTTCAGGTGCTGCGGTGCACCCGCCGTCGGCTTCCCGGAGCCCCAGGCACCAAGGGCCCCCAGCCGCCTGGCCCCCCGGCCCCCAGGCCATCCAGGACGGCGGCCCCGATGTCCAGCCTGGGTGGGCAGCAGGTCTGTGGGGAAGGAAGACGGGGAGTATTGGAAGGAGTCTGGAGGTGGAGGACAGGGATTCTTCCCTTCCACTTCGTGACTTAATGCAGGCCCGTGCGTGCGGTAGCACTAAATTTAATAGAAAGTAACCGGCCCCGGCTCCGCTGGCGCTGCCGACAGTATTGCTCACGTGGGGCTGAGCCGCGGAATCTGCAGCCAAGTAACGGTGGCCTGACCGTGAGCAGGGCCCTCTCCCAGATGCGGGTTCGTCTTCTACCCCGAAAGCAATGATCTCTGGCCTCCTACCTCGCGCGGCCCTTAGTGTAGGTGCACATTGTGCAGGTGGGGCGAATGCAGGTGCGTGCCCGCAGGCGCAGGTCAGATAGTCCAGCACAGCACAGCCCACCTCCGGTAGCGCCTGAGGAACAGCTGCCTCAGACCTGGCAGTTTGCCTCGCGGAGAATTCCAGGGTGACATCTGCAGCCCCGCGGTTCCAGGAAAGATTTTCTCACGTTGAAGAAGTCTGTGGGACTAAGTTCTTCCCAAGTGTAGAGTAACCAAAAATGAAATTTAAAAATGTAATCAGACTTTCGTGCCCCCAGTCTGAAGAACTGTATTTTTCTGAATTTATTTCTAGCTTGCTTTTCTGGGCTTTGCTCTGAAATTGTCAGGCAAGAGGATGTTAAGTCATATTCTACTGAGTGGCATTGTACAAGGTCTTGTCAAATTATTTCCCATCGTTTGCTTATTATTACTGAGTAGTTTTTCCCACTGCAGACGAGAGATTTTAGGGGGAGAGTGGAGTGTGTTTTCTCTCTTTCTTATTTTTTTCTAGGGAAATCAGCCGTGCATTCCAGTGCATACTGTATTCACATTCTCCATATAGCCTGCTGAGCCATAGCATTACACTCATTTTAAAAGAAATAAAACTTTGCAAAATTTTTATTCTTTCCCTTTGCCTGCACTGAAATAGCACAATCAGGCGTAGCTCTTGTAGTCCTTCCTTCCTAGAATCCGAAAGCTACACTTGCTGGTTTCCTTGTAGAGCTCTCTTCCACCTCTGAAACCCACAAAGTTTATATTTGCAGAACTAAGCCATGCAATTCTCCTTTTGGCAGTCTCTGACCTGAGTCAGCTTCCCTAACAGAGCTTTCACCCCACCTGGGATGTAATTACCGTTTTCAAGAAGAAGAGAAGGAAACGGGCTATGGTAAGTAACTTTTCATAGCAGTCTTCTCCTGGTTGCTCAGACTGGCAGGGGATCAGCTTTTGCTCTTCACTGTTAAAAGGACGTTCTTAAAATTTCTCTGTTGATGTTTGCTGCACAGGAATGAACTATTGATAAAATTATTCACTAACCTTAACACAATTTTTTAAAACCCCCTTCTGTAATGTGGAGCTCAGTGGTTAGCAAAATTTCCTCCTAAATGATACAACTTTGAGATCAAGTTTGAAAATGTCCTAAATTATAATGGTAATCATGTGGCCTGACCAATTCCTTTATGAGCAGACCTTAGTCTATTGGAGGGCTCACAGACATCCTTTTTCAGATGCGGATCCTGCTACTAGCTGTCCTGAGTAAGATGACTTGCCTAACCTCGTCATGCACATCTGGTCTTGTGACCCCAGAAGCTATCTTTCTGTGACCATGCTTTTTTCTATTCCAGTGCATGGAAGTCATGTTGGGTCATAAGCCCAGGCTTACTTCATTAATTTATTATCCATAGATGCTCAACAATGCTGTACAGTTGGTGTAGAAAATACTTGCAGTTTGGGGGACTCACTGTTCTCCTGCAGAAAGAGCCTGATGGTTACTCCTTGAAACATGCATGCCTGCAGTCATGTTAAGAAAGACTGTGGTTCCCATTGCACACCAGTGATGCAATGTGGCTGATGAAGAGTTTCGAGAACTGGGATGCTGCTGCAGCCCTTCCTCTGTACTTTCATGGTACCCTACCAAGTTCATTGAGTTGATTTCCTCGAGGCCTTCGTTTGATTTCACCTGTGTGCTTGTTGTCTGTGTTCCCCACTAAAGCTACTGGCAGCAAAAAGGACTGTTTCTTTTTTTTCTTTATATCTCCCAATGCTCTGCATAATTACCAGCACATGATAGGCTTTTAATGTATTTTTAATCAATGAATACTTTTTTGGAATCATGCATGAAGTCAAATAGTTTCATTGCATTCAAGAGATGAAATTTGTCATTGCAATTTTTCTGTCTGGTGGCTGGGCAATGTGTGCTTTGTAATGCTCAGATTGGTGAGAAAATACAAGTCCATCGTAGGTTGCAAGGCAATACTTGACAGCAAGCTCTAGCTGTCTAGCTAGTGATTGATGATTCTTGCTACAACTGAAAAATCTAATCTGGAGGAGAAGGAGCTGAAGAGCAGAAAACAAATGTGGAAGTTGGGTAACTGGTTAGTGTTTTTCTAAGAGCCTGGAATCTCTGGTGAATCAGAAGAGTTTCAGTCATATGATGAGGCTGTTGATTAGCTTTCCTTGGATAGAAAGGCTTAATGACTTTCCAAAATAAATTGCAGAAAATGTATATCTCCCCAGGAAAGGGATAGGTTAAGCTTTATGATAGTAAATGAAATTGAGAGTAATCCATATAAAACTATAATACTCATAGGAAATAGCAAAAAGAGCAAAAAAACCATTTTACCCAAAATTCAGGTAAAAGGCAAAGCATGAAAAATGGCCAGGGGGAATTAGCAGTGGGAACATGGAGTTCTGCGGGAAAAAATGTGACTTAGCAGAAACTAAAAAACATCTGGTGGGGTAGAGTTAGTCATGGAAAAATCAGCAGTCATGATTATGCATTTTGTGAAGATAATTATATGCTAGTCTAACAGTTAACGTTTAGACTGAAATTAAATAGTTCAAAGCCCATACAATGAAATCTCTTATCCTGGTCATTCAAAATACTGCTATTAACTATCTAGATTAGTTTATAGGAAGCCTTACAAATAAGTTACCACATAGCAACAGTATTCTGAAAAGTGTAATTTTAGAGGAAAAGCTTCCAATTCAAACCTTAGTATTTTCAGCACACTATTATATTTATAAATCTAAGGTTTATCAAACTACCTGTGAACTTTCATTTTGGTGAACCATAAATATTTTTATTCTCTAAATACAATGTTGACAAAATAGACAAGTCATAAATGTAAACTGTGAATATTGTTTTAGTAAAATAAGGTCATTTAAAATGAAAACATTTAATGTATATTTTTTAATATAACATGATTAAGGAGTTTTTATATTGTATCATTTTACGTAAACATCCCTTAATTCCCCATTTCTATAATTCTGTCATGCCTGACATACACACCAATTTGATGAACAGAAATCCATTCATTCAATAAATACTTGAATATTTACCTGTTACTGAGTTCTGTCAGACTTTGGATATACAGAATAAAACAAAAAGTCCCTTTCCTATGAAACATATCATCACTCCTGCTCACTGTCCCAATTTTAATGTTTGAATGACTTTCTGTCAGTATTTTGGATTGGATATAAAACAATCTTAACAATGTTATTATTAATAAATTTTATTCCATGTGAGAAAAAAAACGTTAAGATTTAGCAATGCAATGCTCAGTCCATCAAATGGGTATCTTTAATTCAGAAAATTATCTGTGGCTTGAAATGCAGGTACTTTTTCAGTTTGAATGTATCGATGAACTTGCAAAGTTCTGCATATGAAACCAAAAGAATCCCAATATGAAAAGACAATTCTGTAAAAAGGCAAGTCTAACAGAAAAGGTAAGTAGGTGTGATATTCCTCAGATGAAGAAAAAGCAATTAGTGAAACACCAGTTTAAAGGCATTTGCAAAGGAGGCTTCATTCTCTTTTTTAGATAATTCATTTGTTGACATTTTACAAAATAGTTTAATTCACAGATGCTCCAAAATTATAGCCTGTAACCATCCAGCCACCTGCTGCTGTTACTGGATGATGCTCCATCCTATTACAGCAATTCTTTCAAACAGAGCTGTCAAGCTAGTAAGTAATTCCTGAATGAGTGAGTTATTTCCACACTGCAGGCATGTTTATAATGTTTAGCTAGTTTTAACAGCCATCTTAAACCATTATCCTTAAGTTATTTATATTGTTCCAACTCACAGTTGTAAATCAGCTACATACAAGTCAGACATGGGAACCAGAATTTGGTAAACTTCATAAACAGCTGTTAAAATGACTGAATTGAAAAGATTGGCCTTAAGTCTAGATTTAACAGTTGTTTTACATCTCCTACCCTTTTGGGATTTGTTGACCAAGATTGTGCCTTATACAGAATAATAATCCAAATCCCAGAGAGATTAAGTCATTTACCCAAGTTTACACAGCGGGGGAGTGGCAAAGCCGGACTTTGAACACAGGCTGTTGAGCCCCAGGTTCACCGCCACCCCACCCACCCACAACCACCGCGCCTCGCAGCCTCTGCTCAGTGGAGGCACCGTGGCACACACACTTCCCACCACGTGAACTCAAGTCCCTTTCCTTTCTCCACAGTGTTCCTGCCTTGTGGAGCTGGCCTTTGCTGAAGTTCCTGGCTGGGTGAATTTCCAAAGGAAAGCTAAGCCAAAACCAAGATTTCCAAAGGAAAGCCAAGGCCCTAGGGGAGGAGAAAGGACTCCTTCTCTTGCTTTTGCTTCCAATTCATTTAGTCCTCCATATTTCTCTGCATCCAGAACCTTTTCCTTTCCAGAGCAGGAAAAATAAAAGTCTCAATCTGGAAGAGGTTTTTTTTTTTCACTCTAACAACATGAAATAAATGCTCCTCTGCATTTCTGTTATTCATTAAGAAATAGGGGTCATGACTATAAGAAATAAACTATGGTTTGGCTAGGAGGGCCTTTCTGCACTACTGCTTGCCTCTGGCATAATCATGATGAGTCAGTTTAATCCATAATCACCTGTCAGCCTTCCACACACCTTTCTCACTTAGGAATTCATGTACTATTTGTTATCATGGTACAAATGTCCAGGCTCAAGATTAAACTCGACATAAAATCACTTTTGTTTCCACTGCCCTCTGCGCACGGTGATGTTTCCCTCCTCGGGAGCCCAGCAGGGACGCTCGGGCAGTCGCACCCCCTCTTGCGGGCACAGGGTACACCTCCGGCACCAGCCTGACTCCCAGGCGACCTGTCACTTCCCCAAACCTAATTGAGGTTGCTCCATGCCGACCTCCAAGCCTGCCTCTGGAAGCAGGTCTGGCAGCACCTGTGCCTGGGTGTCTGAGGTCTTTCTCAGTTGAACAGTCACTGTCTTTGTGACTTTCCCACGTGCTCACTTCCACATTACCTTTAAAGCTGCTTGGAAAATGTTGATGGTGTCAGTACTCATGACTGAGGCTGACTCCAAGAAAAAAACCACTGTGTGCTCTTCTCCTCCCTCCCATCAGAAGCATTTTTACCATTTGACAATCAGGGTCCAGTGATCATTACAGGCAGCCATGAGAGCCAAACCCTGCAGGGGCAGCGGGAGTTGAGTGAGACAGCGGGTGTGATGTGAGGGAGGTACAGGCAGAGATGGTGAGAACATTCTTTTTTATCATGGTGAGGACTTTGGAGTTGCCTGTATGGACATGAACCACAAGGTCCCACTTGCTGCCTCTGAATTTTCCAAGAGGTGTTTGAGGGTATTCGAGCACCTTGTCCCCATACATGAGAAAGTCACCTTGCCTCTACCTACCTAGGGCAGGAAGATGATGTTGTAACTGGAGATATGACTCTAAGTCTACTAGGCAATTCCCACAGATTCGGGTTCCCAGCTTCTTTCTAGCCCAGCAGGGGAGGGATGGTTACCACAGCCTCCTATAGTGACAGATAACAGTAACACTAGGTGTGTGAAAGATGCCATCTCTGTACCGAGCATTCTACCCATGAAATTACTCAAGGGAGCTGCTTTCTTCATTGCTGTTTTAGCTCTGGCCACCACGCTCTTCCCTGATAGTATCTGGTGCCTCCCCAGATAACCTCCACTTATCTCCGCCTCTGCTTTGTTCTCTAACCATGGTTTGCTAGCTTGGACATGGGCTCCAGGAAAATCTGGTTCCCGAGCTCTGCCCAGGCACTTTCTGTTGCTAGAGAAGAATGCGGGCTGGCTCTGCAGCTTTCTGTGCCTGCGGTTTGTTGGGCAAGGCACTAATCCTCTGAGTGTTCCGAAGAGAAGATTAAGAACAAGTTAAACCTTTAGATTAAATAGTTCAGTTAATCCAAGAACAAAGCACACTGGGTTTTGAGGCCATGTGAACAGCCCACACGGGGTCTAATCTTAAAAATCCAAAGTGGTCATGGAAAAGTGGCACACACTTTCTCCACTAAGAGGGAGAAATTAATATGCTGCAGGTGTGTTGTGTGTGTGTGTGTGCGCACATGAGTGTAAGACATTTAATTTCTCAGGGTTTTAGTTTTTCTATCTGTAAAATGGGCATAGTGAATCAGTGGTTCAGATTTCGTATTCTGTTTTTCTTTCTTTAAGACTTGGATATGTGGACCAGAATTATTTTCATGGCTGAAATATGTTGGTTGTATCAAATAGTTACTATTTCCAAATTTCTTTTTAAAGTTTTTATTGACATTTATCTTCTTCTGAGGATTATAGTTCATAGTTTCTATAGATTATAGTGAACATACTTTTTAAACTGACTTGGTTCAAAGCATCCAGTGTTCCCAGATACAAACTGGTTGTTAAGAGTCTGAGACCAAATTCAGATCCACCATTGCTTTGTCTTCAAAATGAACTCAGATGTGAGGAGCCCTTTGCTGTGGGTCTGCATATTTTGTTTCAGCATTGGCACTTGCATTCATTATGGTTATCACAGCCTCAGAACTGTCCATTAGCACGAGACCCAGCCATGCTGTAGGCGCAGTGAGCGCACGGCTCTCGGGGCAGAAATTAACAAGGCACTCCATCACATATGGGGACAGAGTGGGTGATGCCCTAGGGGAAGGCTAGGTGGCAGCCAGTGTGGCCAGGCTCTGCTTCTGCTCCTCAGTGTCCATCTCTTTCTAAGTTCAGGAAAATGTGCTGTTCTGGGGAGGGCTTTGGGGAGGAGAGAGGTCAAGAGGGACAGCTCAGAGAGTGAGGCACAGAGCAGTTTTCTGGGATTCTCCTACTTGTCTGTAAGACTTACCTGGGCAAACTCACTGGGTTCGCCATTCAACTAGGTGCTCCTGAAACCTAATTATTCAAAGCCTTCTTGACAATACTGGACAAATAATGGTGGTTTTCCTCCCATACCCACCCCTCACACTCCTGTGTTCACTGAGGCTGGTCTAAATGAGTAGGTTTCCCTTTGCCTGAATGCTTTATAAATAATTGTTTACTAGTGTTGATGAATTTCTCTGTCTAGATCATTATGATTTAGTCATGAATAACATCCTAAATGTTTTGAGTGCTTGCCATGTACTAGGATTATCTACTTTACTTCTCATGAAATTCCTGGGAAGCAGGTACTGTCATTTCCCCCTTGAGAAGAGTGAGGCTTAGCAAGGCTGAAGTAACGTGGTTAAGATCACACAAGGGGATAAGGCAGAGCTGGGGCTCACAGCAGCTCACTTGGCTCCAGAGCATGCATGCTTGACCATGGCCTGGCTACTTGCAGCCTATCCTAAGCACTCACTATGTGCCAGCTCAGGGCAACGCACCGTGGGCAGAGGCGGGGGATGCAACAGGAAGACCACAATGTTTCCCCTGACCTCAAGGAGGCCTAGGCAGGGGGAGCCAGGAATATGGACTATAATGTAGAAGGTGGGGTGCCAAGTCCACGGCCCAGGAAGGACAGAAAGTGCTGCAGGGACTGAGACAGGAGTCGTCGGTTCTGGGTGGGCAACTATTTTACGTTTTCAATCTCACCTCAGTAACTTGAAATTTTGTATTTTAAAATGATAACTCAAACTTTGAAAACTAGAAAAAAGTGCATATACAAAAAAAAAAAAAAAGGCTGGCTGGCCTGTTTTCTCACTCACTTGCATCCTCTGGTGACTGGTGGGCAGTTTCAGATTCCCTCGCTTCTGTTCACTTTCTGTTCTTTCCTGTACTGTCCATTCTCTCCAAAGGTGAGTTCAGCTTCCTTTAACAACTAACTTCATTACCTTCCAAGACATTAACCTTGATATAAAATCTTTTAATTAACTCTAAGGAGGAAGAGCAGGCCCTGAAGCTGATCCTTCCCTCCCATACCTGTTAAACTGCTCCAGCTACTTTCATCAGAAGCAAACAAACCAAAAATGCACCTTGTCCTCAAGTTGTTGGATTGGTGTGTCATGTTTTGCCTCAGTCACTCTAGCCACTGGCAACAGGGACACTGTTTTGAGCAGGTAGACAAAGCTTAAACTTTCACTGGTGTTCGCGGGTGCTGAAAGTAACAAGCCCCTCCAATCAGTGTCATGATTTAGATGCTCCTTAGTAGCAGATCTGGGCTGACTAACGTGTTCTCCTAGACAAATTCACAGCATTCAGAAACAGGAAGCCAGGAGGTGAGGCAGATGAGAGGCCTGTCCTGGTCAGAATGGACGAGACGGCTCCCAGGGCGATCCCACTGTGTTCCAGGCTGCAGCTGGGTGGGCCAGAGGTGGGCAGGCCGCTAGGACTCTGCAGCCCCTATCCTCTCTGGGCAACACAGACTGCGGACTCAGTACAAATTGCTGCCTGATATTCAACATCCTGTGGCTGAATGAGCAGGCACATGGCTAGCTAAGGCTTTGATTAGTCTTAAAAACTTAACTTTTTAAGGCAAACAGGTATTACAGGAAACAGAGATTCTACATCAAAGATGTCCAGGTTTGGACATCACTTAGTCTCTCTTATGAAACAGAGCTATGCCTTCACTTTTAAGATACAATAGTACTGTGCCAGAAATGCAGTTCTGAACATAACACCAGAAGAAATGAGTATCTTAAATAAAAAGCAGAGTCTTCTTTTTCCTTATCAGCCCAGAGGAACACGTTAAAAAAAAAGACTTACAATGTAAGAAATTTATACAGATGTATGTATTTTTTCCCTAATTATCAATGAATCAAGAAGCAAACTATAGTACTGGACTAGTTAAACTACTTAGGTGTTTTCTGCAAGGCAGTAATATAAGAGGAGAAAACCGATTCAGATATACTGGTCTGCACTCCCTGTCACCTTCTGGATGGGGAGAGAATGACTGTGAGGCTGACCAGGCCCTGGGGAACTGTTACGACTTCCTTAGGCCCCTGCAGGCTCAGGAGCCTGTCTTGTGTCTGTCTGACTATTCCAGGAGTTTACTCAGCTGCTAACCTGCCTGAACTTCTTTCTCTTTTTAAATCATTTTTAAAACATTAAGACTTTATTTTTAAGAACTGTTTTAGATTCACAACAAACCTGAGCAGAAGGCACAGAACTTTCCCATCTGCCCCCTGCCCACACACATGCCCAGTCTTCCCCATAATCTGCAGGCCACCAGCCCCATACATTTGTTATGACTGATGAACCTGCACTCACACATCATTATCACCTGGGATCCATGGCTGATATTATGGTCCACTCCTCATGCTGTACATTCTGTGGACTTGGACATGCATCCATTATTATGATACCATATGGACTATTTCACTGCCGTAAAAATCCTCTGGGCTCCACCTACTCACAAGTAGATGAAACACTTCATGAATTTGCATGTATCCTTGTGCTAACCTTCTCTGTATTATTCTAATTTTAGTATATGTGCTGCTAAAGAGAGCACTGAACTTCTTTTTATGGGCAAAATCAAAAGAAAATCAGCTCTTAGCCATAGTGACTGACGGCTGCAGAGCAGGCCCAGGGCAGCTTTGCATTGCCCTGACCACCCTCACCACCACTGTGCCCTGGGGGGCACGCCTTTCTCCTCCCTCTGGGGGAACCTGTGAAGGAT